AAAGTGATACATGGTGGTGAGGAAACCCCTGTCTTATCACAAAACAAGCAAACATTCATGTCGAAGGTGCGATTCGAATCCGCGATCACCATAGCTATCTCGGTAACGCATGTCAGCGGCACGGGTAACAGAAAAATGGAGATAAATATAACTAGTAATATATATATACATGTGTGTGTGTGTGTGTATTTCATGATATTGTCAAAAAACAAATACTCTACAATCAAAATGGTCAGGCGAAAGAACAGGCTAAATGGCCTGAGCCTCGCCATCAATAAAGACTTATTTATTTAATTTTTATTTAAAATGAATTATCCTTAACGGTGATATTAATTAATTAATAATTGCCTTTTCTTTACTAAATTTTATTTCCGAGCCATACATCGCTGAGCTAAGTATGCCCCCAGTGTTTTCTGGGGCTGCCGTTTCCTCTCCGGGCCAGCGCAGCGGTGGCGTCTGCCGCAGGCCGAAGGGAGGCCAGTGGGCCAGCCGCTGGCCAGTGGCGTTCGGGACGCTCCCCTTCAACCTCCGCGCCGCCCTCCAGGCCACTGGGCTCCCTCGCAGGGGCTATTTTAAGCCGCCCGCCCGCGCCCGCCCGCGCCCCGGTGCAAATACATGAAACAACACAGGTCGGAAGAGTGTCCTATTAGGTTGCATTACGGAAACTCCAAGTTCATTTGAATGATACCTTTTGTCTGGGTGAAAATGATTGGTGGTTTTCTTAAAACAAATTTCTTGGAGTAATTAGTAAATGTGGGAGTAACTGGCGGTTATGTTTTTGTTTCAGGCGAGGTAAGTATATTTGTATCACATTGAAAAAATTCGCTAAATAAATAAGACAAAACACCTACAAATTATTTAATGAAAAACAAAAAAGTGTTTTGTAAACCTATACTTCGATTTACAGATAAATTATAAAAATGGACATAATCTGAAAAAAATATGAGTAATGAAGGTAAAGTAATGAATTATCATCAACATAATTGTTGAAATGGTAATGAACAGCTATTAATTTAATTATTCTGCTCACATTTAATTTTTTAATTAAATATTGAAAAACTGGTGTCTAGGTACCTCAGTACCAATTCATTTATACGAAGATGTCATCGTCACTAATAACATATAAATTTAATGTTCATGTACTAATAACTATTTTTTCAAACAGTATACTGCAAAACATGGGAGCAAGAGTAATGATGAAATGATTAAATTATCCTGAAACATATCTGCAATCTGATTATGAAATGTTATGGCTATTTATGAAAAGATAATTTTACGTCATATATGTACTTATATATATATAACCCATCGTACAACTACATTTCTTCATTTGGATTACAAATTTTTCATTTCACATTCAAAACATCAGAACAAAAACGTCGTAACGCCGCAGAATCGCCGATAAAGTACATCAACGAATCAACACACGTCTTTTTTTAAAGACCCTTCTCTCCCATTCTAAATAAATCACGCGAGAAGTTCATTTTCGTGATAAGTTGACATCTGGCACAGGCCGTATCTTTCCTTTTTTGTCCTCGTTCTCTTTTTTGTAGAGAAAGATTGATAAAATTTTTTGCTTGATGTGGCGGAATATAATTCGTGGACTCTTTGGGCTTTGACGCGTCAGACGTACCGTGACGTTTGAATGATGTGTGGATATGTGAAAGAAATATTGATATGTAGGTTTGGATGTGATGCCATTCTTTCATTACAAGTTAATATCTTACATCAGCAGAGCACTCCCTTTTATACAAACATTTCCTCTCGTGAAATTAAAACCAACAGTGTTTAACTGTACATACAAAATGCCCAATCAGGGCGGTCAATCTTAAAAGGGTTATCGCTTTTTCCATCCGATGTTTCTTATAGCTTCTACCTACTGGCCAATCATAAACTGTGACTCATCTATCTCAGGAAGCGTTATACACCTCACCGTTACTATAACAAAACCTCTGATTTTAACATGCGCTTTCAGTTATTTTCAATATTCGGCGCATTTTGGAACTCGGACAGAATTTCACTCGTGGAATAGTCCTATTAAATACCACAAGTGCTTTGGAAATTCTCGGATAAATCCCCTCCTCGTTTCGCTAGTCGGGAATTTATCGATTATTTCCAAAGCACTCGTGGTATTACCTATTATAAATCAAACTTGAAAACTGTTGAGAATTCACTATTTTGCCTATGTCACGTATTGTCATGCAGTAAAGAACTTTGAAAGTATTATTAAACTTAAGTAAAATTGAATTATATAAAAACATTTGGTTCAAATCATGAATTTTTTTTTTTCATTTCATCTTTTTTAAGTGATTTTCATTCACTTCACCTACATTTAAAAAACGCGATAACTTTCAGTGCATGTAGAAACGTTTTTTATTTCCTCATTTTGCATTTAATTGTATTGCTTCTTCAGATTATAATGATTATAAATATTAACTTCATTATTATGAAATATGTGTTTCATTCAAATTTTTTCATAGATCCCAGAACATTTTTGATGTGATCAAGAAATTTGAGCATGTCGGCTTGTCATGCCAAGATGAGAGTACGTTTAGCTTCGAATCAACCAACACTCAGCCTCAGGAATGGCAATTTAAACGTACAAAACTATATCAATTTTAATTTTCTCACAATTGTTGGATTTCGTCTTTATTGTTTTTAAGCAGCATTATAGAATTTTATTTGCATTTTGTGTTCAGTGTTGACAATTTTATTTGCCTAAATTTTGCGAAATATTATGGCAATATTTTAAAAAAATGTTTCACTATCCTACTCCAAATAAAATAACATTTATTATTTCAATTAAATCTTCCAGAAAAAAGCGAAGTTTTTCTTAGATATTCTTCTTTTACGACATACAATAATGCCAATATAATATGATTCCTATATTTGCTTGAAAAAAAAATAACAGCTCCCTCATTGCATTCTTCTATTTTTTTATGATTCACAAGTGCTATTTACGAATTCCCTCACGCTGACCGGTTTTTTTTAAAATTTGATGCAAGTCATGTAATTTCCTTCACTCGGAGCCGGAGTATTTGTTTTCTGGGTTACGTTCGGAATATCTCAAAAAATACGCCACACTTATATTATTCGCGCACATTTTCTTGAGCCCTCATTTCGCCAGCTTCGAGAGGAGAGGGAGTGTTGTATATTTCGACGACAGGATTTTTATATCAAATCTACAGCTCATTTAGTGGGGCAAAATATATTATATTTAAGTGAATGCAAGATTTAGTTATTCTTTGAATAATTATATTATCCTTTCAAGAAAAGATTTTACATATGTCAATATTGGAGTTGGAGCATTACTTTAGAGATATCGATTACACTGATTAGAGATCAACATTCGCGCAAACATTAGTGAAATATGCGCGAATCAGTAAAAAGAGAAATTTATATCAATTTATTCATGTTATGTTTTATGTAACGTCTGCGAGCCAACATATGGAAACAACAAAAGCGTCCCAACAAAGAATCCTTCAATGTTGATAACACAGCTCTTAAAATAAACAAAATATATTGGTTAGAACATGGAACATGGCAATAACTGAAGCCATGAAAAAGAAAATGAAGAACAGCTGTTTGGGATAAAGAGGCATGGAAATTGATGCGGAAAGAACTCAGGCTGTAAAACCGCTAAATAGATAAATAGACTATTGGTTACGGAATGTCGATGTTATAAACAATTCCCATCCTTTTTCAACAAATCAATGTAATTGACGTCTCATAAATGCACATGTGCTATTTTAACTCAAAAGCATTCATGATTTCATCAATCTATTAAAAGTATGCGATTTAATTATTCAATTAAGTACTCCGTTTATAAGAAAACTCATTAACCGTCTTTAGTGTGTAAGCAATCGCTAGAAAAAATTTACAAACTTATGAATATGAACGTAACATACAAATTCTAAACGTAGTATCCAACTGCGAAATTAGTACGGGCGACTGATCTAACAATTCTTTACTCCATAGTTTTTGTCAGAGATGTTTTAAATAAACATCCTAAATTATTAATTTGTAAACGTATAACAAAAGCTTAAAGCGTAAAACACGAATAAGAAAATGAAATTATATATAATAAATTAGTTACAAGAATTCGTCTTCGAAAAAATATGGACGTTCACAGAATATACTTTTGCTGTTGGATATGAGAACTCACTCGCTTCTATTGTCTCAATGGACAATGACTGCTAAGTCCTTTATGGACGTCGACGTCGGTCACAGAATCCACTTCATATGAGCATATATAAGGATTCTCTAAGGACTATTCTAAGGACAATTTCGGATTCTTCTCAATAACTATTTCTCTTTGCGATAACGCTGCCCTCCGCAAATCCGCAGTTTCGTCAGGGAGACATTTTCGTTCCAATCTCGTGTTGTTACTTGTATAAACTTTATATTGTTTTCGTTAATCGTTTCTTCATCAGTGCATTTATATATTCTCTAGATTGCTAGTCAAAAATAGTCATTACGTATCGTACGGATTGTGTGGCAATCGCCTTCCTGCCCACCCGCTGAAATCTGACCATGTGAGCCACTGTATTTTCAGAGCAAACTCTGCAGAAATTGAACACGTGTTCCAGTACCTTGGTCCAGTTATGGGGCCGCATACGTGTCCTGCAATCACTGGGCTGTTGAAAGCCTGCATTCCCGAAATCGACCCGGTTGTGCTTTGCAGAGACCTTCGCATCCATTTGCAACTAGAAAGGTATATTCCATTATTAGCCTTTCAAAAAATCGCATGCTGGGGCAATTAACAATCATTCACAAGTGGCATAAGTGACACGGCAATCAACACCTTGTTTGTGTTAATTTTCATGGGCGAGTTTATTTGATTTACTGCAATTCATTTGCATTCATATTTCATTAATAAGCAATATGCATGCACAAATTTCATTTCATTTACTTCCCGCATATGATTCACTAAATAAATCGTAAATGCAATATCGACAATTATAGCCAAAAGTAAATTTATTTTGTTTTCAATCATTCTTTCATATTCTCCTTCTTCGAATCAGTGTCACTGCCCATTCCTCTCGCACCACTATTCTGACGGCCGCAGCGTTAAATCCTTCTCTACCTGGAAGGGTCTCACTGCCTAAAACCTCTTCCCTTTCCCAGCAATTCGCTCGTCTCGCGTGACCTTCAATAAGTGTCTCAATGCCATCTACTTCTAAGAAAAAAATCATATAAACAATGAATACCATTTCTTGGAATAAGTGTATACAATTACTTTACGTGCAACTCATTTCTTTCAATTGTCCTTAACGGACGGCGGGCAGCCTGTTAAATTCATAACGGTCGAGGACTGTTCAATCTTTTATCGGTCATAAGCGTGTTTAACCCCTGTTAACATGCAACCTTATAGGTTTGTTAAGTGCACTTGTACCTATCTGAAGAAATTTAACATTCTTAGCAGCGGGTTTTTAACATCTTTAGCAGTTAAAAAACCATGGATTCATCGCAAGTAAAATCTTTATTAAGAAAAAAATATGGCGATGTGCAAAACAGATTAGATTCAAACAATTCAGAATAAAAGTAACTCATATTAGTTTTTTGGATAATTATTTTTAATTATAGTATTAATAGTACAATTAAAAAGGAATATTAGGCAAATTAAACTCATTTTCCTGTCATTCCACCAAATGAAACTATTTCTAGTAATCATATTTACTGACGATCTAAAGGTGTCACCTCTGAAAGTCGACGTGCCTATTTTCTCACCGAACGTAATTTCTTTAGGTACCTTAAGGTACAGGAGAATTATTTGCATCCATCTTATCTTGAACCACGGTATACGCATATTGTTTCAATAGATATATCTGAGACAACACTCCACAAGATCGTACTAACGTGCCACTCAACAGAATTCATTTGTCTACTACCGTAGTAATGAACATTTTCGCATAAATCGTGAGATATTATGGTCACCGATAAAATGATGAACATATCACGATATGTTACAGCATTATTACTGCCTTCTTCAAATTAAAAATCTCGGCTTCGCTCCGCCTCAGTTTTTAACTTTCGGTCTCTGCAGTAATAACACTCTGCCCACTGCAGTAATAATTTCTAAGTACGTTATTAGATAGCTATAACGGTTGAGGACTGTAAAATGTCTTACCAACTCCGACAGTTAAGCGTGTCTTTTCTTTCTTCTGGTTGCTTTAAGTTGAGTTAACAGTATAGTAAGAGGCGAGAAGGTGGCCAAAAAAATGTGTGCATACCTCGCTTGCGCAGGTGGTCCTCGGTGATGATGGAAGAGATCATGAAGATGTTGCCGACGCTGCCGACGACGGCGAGGCCGGCCACGAGCAGCAGGCGGCCCGCGCGCCCGCCGCCCTCCGCCGCGCTCAGCGCCATGGGCTCGAACACCAGCGCGCCGCCCGCGCCTCCGCCACCGCCGCCGCTGCTGCTGTTGGTCTGGTTCGGCCACATGCTGCGAAACACACCACCACCGTTACGAGACCGCCATTACTGGACTCTTTTCTAGGAACGAGTCAAAATAACGATAAGGACAAGTACGTCAAAAGCGATAAACGGTACCAGCAGTGATACCTCAGCGGCAATAGTTGTTTCGCTAGCATCGTTGACTGAGAGCTCTGCTGATTTCTGACACCATTTATAGAAATGAGTCGAATCCAACCCCTGGAAGAGCATTCTAGTGGTCGGTTGCTCAGATCGGTAGAATTCCGTTGTTTCTCCGGTCAACACTAGATAAATGACGGAGCAGTGCCCTCACAAATAGACCACGGACCGAGCGCGATCTTTCCTTCCTCAACCTTGTTACCAGTACTATCGTTACACACAGTTTCACTTATATTCAATGTACAACTAGGGCAGGTAGAATACTGCCACCGCCAAAGATAAAACATGGACTACACCTGTAGGACCAACGGCCTAATTAACTGACCCTCGTACTCAATACTCACAATGTTGATTATTGCAATATCGTTTCTGTGCGTAGGCGTGGGTGGCAGCGAACGTCTTTTTATCTCTCACTGGACAGAGTATGATATTTGTTTACATTTCATTATGTCAAGGACGTTTGGTGATCATTCAGGACAAATCGCGATGTTCAGATAGGATACGTGATGGTGACGAAATGACACAAATGGATACGTGGGAAACCCAACAACTCGACCACTTGGAGAAAACATCCATGCTTTCCATGGTACTCGAATCCGCAGCCAAACATCGTTACTGTGCACACATCGCCTTTTCACCGCCAACAAGAGCATTAATTAACGAAAATAAATTAATAATAAAGTTGTTACTTGGAAACTGTTTTCACTTTGTCTTCTCTAAAACATTCATCAAGGAGGCTCTATTCAATCCAATGCAAAATAGTGTATAATAAAATCCATCCAATGTAAAATACAGTTTGTAAGTATGTAGGTTGGACAGAAATTCATGGTGGAAAATTAATGAATTTTCTTTCGTGACTTTTTCAAATATCAAACACATTTTTTTGAATAAATCAAATAAACAACAAATAAAAACTTTTATGCATCAATACCTAAGCTTCTCTCAAAGTTTAATGCTTCTCCTCTCGCAAATTTTGCATACTGGTCATGTGCTTCAAGCTCTCAACAGAAACTTGTAACACCTGAAACTTTTCTCATTTGCAAGCAATTTACTGAGCTGCACAGCGTTCTGCCATGTTTCGTCGTCAATTACTGGCACACGAAGTAGGCAACACTTCCCGTATTTTTCAATATATTTACAAATCAACTCCGACAGTTTTTGTTTGATTTTTTTAGCAAGAAGTGTACAATTTCCTTTGTGACAATGCATATCTTTTAAACCCTCTGGCCAGTAGATAACTCGTACAAATTATATATTAATGATTAATAGCGTTTATCGATTTACATCGAATTACAATTCTATTAGCTTCATATCTTAGAGTACTAATACGTCATCACTACAAAGAATGGAGATTAGTAATGCGCATTGGTTGTCTTCTCTGAAATTACTATTTATATGAAAAAAATCATTAATTCTAATGTCTGAAGTTGATACATCTCACGTCAATAGTTTAATTGGTCATTTCAATAATCTTTATAGGAAAAGGTTCAATAAAGCCACAATTCTTTTTAGCACTTTTTCCTTTTTAACAATCCTTCAAAATTTGATTGTTAATTAAACAAGCTGTTGTATATATTCAAAAAAAGCGAATTATAACCGACATTTATTTGTCATTCTTGCCTGCGTGTCCGATTGGGTACGTCAATGTGTTTTGTTTCTTAATATTGTTCCATTAAAAACTTTCCCCGTGTAGGCAGAGCTCTTTGCCAACAGGTGAAGAGGCGCCACAATCGATGGAGTTGTCACCCGTCCTAGCGCAGTCCTGCGTGCCCGCTCTATCGAGTGCACTGACATCTTCCGCGTGCCTCAAAAATCGAACTACCCACATTCCATACTTCGATCAATATATCGGAAGACAAGCATCTCCACCTGTTTGTCTTGCCGAACGTTCTCCGACAGGCACGTACTTTAGAGAATAGTCAACCCGGCAGCGAGACATGTTGCGTCGCATTTACGTAAATTAACTCTTTATTTTGTAGAAACCTGTTATTGGAAAATCGAAATTTAATCCATTATTTGTCTCCAAAAGTATTCGATTAAAAATTGGATGAATATTATATGGATTTTATGTTCAAAATATTGTCAAATGAAAACTACTCAATAATATTCATTCAGATCAACCATTCGTCATAGACGCGCATTAAAACATTCGGTCGAAAAAATACAAGTTGTTGCCTAGTTACAGAGAAAATATAGATCTTTTTAAAGAAACTGACGCCAACAAACCTTACAAAATAAAGAACCAGCACAACAGAACGGTATATGTATATGTATATGGCATTTATGTATATTTATTACGAAGGGAAGAATAAATTGTCAGATTTCTAATAAATTAATTTCTGCTTCACTACGTTTATCTCAATAAAATAAATATAATTGCAGGCAGAGTTTAATCTCACAATATTTTCTGCATCTTCATACCCTGTGTCACTAGAAGTTTCTTCAGATTTCGCGAAATATCCTTGCTGTCTCGGAAGTTAGCAAACGACGTGCTCCTTTACCCACTGACGTGGAAGCCGTTGAAACTTAAGTGATTCCGTATCAACTGCGTAGTTTCCTTTTATTAGGGAAGGGACGCCGCGCGACTTCGCTCGAGCCCTAGGGCAGTGCCGGCAGCCAACGCTGCTTTGGAACGAGCCAAGTTCAGAGCCCCGCAGGTCCCTCGAGAAATTTCGCAGAGCGCTCCGACAGACGCACAGGTGGGGAGCAGCCACAGGCGAGAGTCTCGTGTGCAGAGCTGCGGGAGAGGAGGAGGGGGGCTGAGATCGACCTGCAGCGAACAAAATGAGGAGATAGGGGGACAAGGAACCTCCTCATGGGAAGGGAATTCTGATTAAAAGTTTCGCTTGTTTGTTCTACGTTTTTCTAAAAAGTTCCTCACCATGTTTCTTCTTACTACTATGTCAGAGTATTCAATACAGTAAAAAATAAAATTAACTAAGTGTCAGAAGTGGCATATGAGAATACTGCTCCTTCTCCGAAAACTCTTGCAGAGGAAATTTCTCTATATTCTCTATTTTGAAAATGAAAATATGTGCACTTGGAGAGGTGGTTCAGGGTCTGATATCACTGCAGTGCCTTTGACCAGGAGGAAATACTTGGCTACTGGCCATGTGCTTCAAACTCTCAATAGGAACTTGTGCGACACCTGAAACTTTTGTCATGTGCATGCGATTTACTGAGCTGCACAGCGTTCTGCCATGTTGCGTCGTCAATATTTGGCAAACGAAGTAGCTAACACGTCCCATATTCTTCAATATATTCACAAACCAACTACGACAGTTTTTTAGCAGATTCTAGGTTTGAGTCACGACGGTGACAAGATTTTTGACACGAGCTACATAGATGGGTCGAGTTCTGTCGCTGCCTAGAGGAGGATTCTAGCGAGTGGCTGCTCCGATCAGTAGTTTTCCGTGGTTTCTTCGATCAATACCTGGCGAATGCCGGGACAGTACCCTAACAAACGGGCCTCGGACCGCGCGCGATCTTTTATTCCTCTCCCTTGTCCTATCCCCATCCCTTAAACACACACTAACATGCTCTATGCTACCACTCATGCCGGGAGACCGACAGGGGCTTCTAACTTGCCCCGATTGCGGTGCTGCCATTCAGCGGATCTCGCCATTCAGCAGGAGATCACCGCCACCTTGCGAACAAATACATACACTACATTTACGGGAATAATGTATTCATCTGTTGACGCACCCAGAATTACTAGTAATCAATCAATGAATAAAATAATTCCATGTGAATTGAGGGATCGCGGCAAGTGCAATTCGCAACCGCGCGATGCTCTTAATGTGTTTTTGAAAAAGAAGTTTGCTTTGAGATCTACAAAAATACAGATTAAACTGTTAGAACTCAGATGCCTGTATAATAACTTAATGTAATAACATCGGTTGAGAGTTAATATGTACAATTTATCAAAAATGCATTTCATAACGTTGAGAGAAATTCTTAAATTAGTTTACACTTCTCCGATAACTTAATTTCCGATTTCCATCCTGCAAATTGAATTCGCTCCATTTCACGTTGGTACATTTGCATCATTCTACCGATATACTGCGCTAACGTACGTCACAATTGTGACTCATAGCGGTTGAACAATTGTGTTTGCTAATGACCGAATAACATCATTTAGTCACTAACAAACTTTGTGTACGGCCACACCCGGGTCCCTGCGTGACCTATAGCCACGCCCATACCCAGCACTACCCTAATTTCCGTCTCATTTCATTTCCTGCTGACTTCGTACTCGTGGAGGCCTTGATTGCCCTATGGACTGGAAGCACGTTCGATAGGGAATTTCAATTTTCATGCAGAGAGAAATTGCTTAATGGATAAAGCAGTTAACAACACCTTTTCATTTTAAACCTCTTTGCAGTTTGTAATCCACTTCATAGACTGAGAGTAGCATAGACTGAGACTAGTTGAACTCTTGCGATTGCATCGCACGAAAGGAAGAATTGTACAAATGTTACTATAGAAAAGTATTACATACGTCCTACACGAATAATAAAAATTCCCCCAAAGTCTTGTTACAAGGCATTCAGAACTTGAAATAAATTGATTGATGATCAAAGAGATATCAATAACAAAAGTTATTTAGTATTTTTAAATAATTATCCAGAAATACTACAGGAATTTTATTCCATCATCAGAGGCACTACAGGCAGGAAAATTTGCAAATACAATATAATTATCATATGTAATCAAACTAAAAATCAATAATTAAATACATAAATGGGAATAAACGAAATAATAAATGTAGAATAAGAAATCTGATGAAATTGGTTACTTATTTGGTAATTTTAATGATGGTTAATGGTTATGATTAACCTATTTGATTA